CAACTGGGCCTTCAGTTCCCATGTCTTGGTCCTGGCTACTTCCGACTGTCTATCAGCTTTTCAAACCAAAGAGTGTTTCCTTTGTGTTTTGGTCTCCTTTGGAGAGGCAGTGCTTGAGTCTATGCTTATGCCATAGTTCCTTTTTTATAGAAATAAGACAAAAATCATTCCATTGGGTGTCATTAAATAATTGCACCAATGACTTATTTCCCTATGCCAATATATTAAACCAGTTTTGTTAGCACTATAGTAAACCAAGTTAGTATAATAAAATAACATACAAAGTCACAATATTACTGGACAGCCTTTGAAATCTAAGCACTGACTGACAAATACTTTCTCAGTCATTTTAAATTTTCATCTTTGGCAGAAACCAAGTATCAAAGTTCTCATAAATAAAATACCAATACAGAAATAATTGTGAAAGTTAGAAGAATGTTAAGAGTCATGATACCAGTGTTTGGAAACTTACTTATGCATGTACTATTAGACATTTGTTTCAGTAAGTTAAATGAGAACTTTGCTGATTTTCTTTTTCCAATTTAATTGTCCCTGAATGTAAACAATTAACAAGCTCATTACTCTCCCTTTGGTATATACTGAAGAAAGAAAATCCTGGCTTAGGAAGAGTGGATGAGAGAGTTTCTAAGCATACGTATTCAAATCCAACTATTTCTAAGTGATTTTATGCCTCCAAAGATTCAGCTCTTCAATCGAGCAAATGAACTATCATTCCTAAACTGGTCTGACTTCATTGTATAAAGCTAAGCATATTCGTAATATTTATGTATTTTAAATTTTCAAGTGTGCTCTTCAGTTAGCACTTCTTGAGTCTTGGGTATAAGGTGATACACATCCCAAAAATAAGCTCTGTATGGTGAGAGGCAGAGAGTGTATGTTGCTGTATTTCTTTGTTTCTGAAGAACAGCTTATGACCTCAGTGCTAAATATTGGGTTACCTTGCCAGTAGGTTTTTTTGACAAAACAGCATACTGAAACGGAGAAAGTGAGAAAGATAGAAAGGTATGAATGCATCGTGGTAAAAAGGAATTCTAAGCAATTCATGCAGCTCAATGGAAGAGTTAATAACTGAGCAAGCAGTTTTAGCCCCGTTTTGACAAGGCACCTGTTTCTCATTGAAAGCCTAAGTTTAATTTTGTGTGAACAAACTGGGGCCCTATCTTTTAGAATAAAAGGCTAGGACACATTTCTTGGAATTGCTGGTTATTTGCCATTCTAGGAGAATCTCTCTAGAAAAGTGATCACGAGATGAGCTTACCTGTAGTCTTCTCCACCTGTTGGTAAGTAGGCCATTGGCTATTTCTAGAAAGGACAACATAAATCCAAAGGAAACCAATCCTTATAGGAGAGCTTGAAAGAAATGAATCCTGGCAGTTGTTTCTAAAGTTGTTAATGAAATACATCTTTCATGTTTCAATGGCTTATGAGTCCTAATCATCATGATTTTTTTTTAACGCTAATAACTGTGAACAGCTTGAGTCACCAATGTAAAACTAATGTCTCCCAGCAGTAACAGCATGACTGTAGACTTAGTCTAAGGTGGGAATCCCGCAAAAAAAACAATTACACTTTCTGTATTATCTATTTGATAACCATTATGTCTGGAAATACCATCCCTTCTTTCTCCTTCTGCTGCTAAAATACCAAATACCTCAGAACAATTGCAAGAATTTGTCTTGAGACAAAGTATAAATGCTTATTTTCAGCAAGTTTTGATTACATGTCATAGGTGCCTGCCTACTTACCTTTAGAGGAATTTCACACACAATAGCACAGCATTGAGGTTCTTCAGTGTACAACTGTGACACTGATCACTGCTGATGAAAATTTATTTTTACCCAGATTAAAGTTGAGTTGATCCCGATTTTCTGGCTGACCCACATGTGAGTTATGTCCATACTTTCAATATTTGTTGCAGAGAGTTTTTGTCTCGTATTCAGGGAGCCCTGGTTGAATTAAATGAGAGATTATATGTTTTGTAGGTTTCATAATGATTGCAAAAAATGTAAAATGTTTTTTGGATTTCTCATACTATTTGCTGGCATTGTTTACACATGTGTGGAATTCAGCTTTTAAACTACAGCTCCTCTAAGTACCGAGAACCATGACTCGACTTGCCCAGCTGGAGATGGTGCATTTTGCTTGTCTTTCACTTTGTGGAGGAGAGGAGATCAAAATTCCAGTTTTACCAACCTTCCCCAGAAAAAGATGCGTGCAATGACTGATGATTTATCAGATGTAAAGGTTATTAAATGGAGAGTCACTCACTGTGTTAATCCAAGAGTATTATGTTTGATCACTAGGCAGTAAGTAACTCATGATGTGAGGCAGTATGAGTTTGTGCCGTGTTGTCAGGGAGGATGTTCAGTTGGAAAGAACAGCAGATGTCTTCTGAAGAGAGTGAACTGGGTGCATGTTTGTATGACTGAAGAGGTACAGAATTCCTTCACCGATTGAAGCACAGGCTAGGGGTATTAATGGGCCTGTCCTGTGGGTGGAAAGTGAAATAACACCTTTTACCCTGTCATGGTTTGACCCTAGCCAGCAGTCAAGCACTCACACAGCCACTCACTCGCTCCCCTCTGCCCCCAGCATACAGAGAATAAAACAGGAAGAGCAAAAGCAAGAAAACTCATGGGTGAAGATGAAGACAGTTTAAGTGAAGGAAATCAGAAGTGATGCAAAGGCAATCACTCGCCCCTTCTCACAGGCAGACCAGTGCCCAGCCAGTCTACATGCAACAGACACCTTGTTAGAGTCCCCCACCCTCTTCTTCCTTTGATCATGATGTTATATGGCATGCAAATCCCTTTGACCAACTTGGATCATCTGCTCTGCCTGTGTCTCTTCATAACTTCTTGTCCACTCACAGACGACTTGCTGGGGTGGGCAGAGGGGAAAAAGAGAAAGCCTTGACACGTGCAAAAACTGCTCAGCAGCAGCTAAAACATTGGCATGTTAGCAGTGCTGTTTTGGCCACAAATCCAAAACACAATACCATGCAGGCTGCTGTGTAGAAAGTGAGCATCATCCCAGACAGACCTAGTACATGCTCACCTTTAGATAGTTCCAGTTCATGTTTGAAGCCTAACATAAGTAATCCACACTCTTCTTATATGCCAACACAAATAATTGGGGTGATTTGTTTTTCTTTTTCCAAGTGTAGTGCTTTCTTTTTTTTTTTTTTTAAACGGAAGTTGAGCTCTATTAAAGTTACGTGAATTGAGGAGCCAGGACAGAGCCCAGTGGCATGGGTGGTTTGAACTTCACTACTCCAAAGATGTTTAGCCAAGGCCTGGCACGGCCAGGTGTCTCCAGTGTCAGGAAGGGAAGGGACGGATGGGGGAGGAACCAACACAGAGACTGAAGTATAGTGTTCCAAAGACCCTTTTTTTTTTTTCTCTGTTGGGGTGGCTGTGGTGATTCAGAGAAGGCATGGTTTTCAGTCTGGTGCAGGTAGCTGGCCCTGGTTGTTGTCTGTTGTAGGCAACATTACTCCATCTGTGCCTAATATCACTGACTGGTGATAGCAGAAAAGCAGTAAGTGTGACAGGAGATGTGGTAGCATTGTAAGTATTGGCAATAGTGACATAAGGCGTTTTTATTTTTCAGTGGTCTTGGGGTGACACTTGATTCTCTGTCCTCTTATATGCAGCATTAAAATGCTTTAGTACAGAAGGTCACAGTCGTGTGTGAGTAACAGTCTTCTGGAGAATTCTCACCCAGAGAAATTTAAACTGATGCTTTATTTAAATGTGCGTTTTTGAAGGTGAATTACGAGACATTAACACCATTATTGTAGCAAGTTCAGAGAGTATTAGCCTCTGCTGCACATGGAAAACAATTATTCATGAACGTGTGGGGGAAATAGTGAGTCGATTTTGTTTCAGCAACAGCATAGTGATTTGGAATAGAACAAGGAGTTCCAGAAACTTAAACAGAAAGCTATTCAGAACATTCACAGCCTTTTTCAGCAATCTTTGTTGAACATGACACAGCTGCCCAGAGGGCTCTGATGGAAACATGCCCCACACAGGTGTTGGGCTGCAGGGGGCCCCTGCTCTTAGGACAGTACTGACCAGCAGCAGTGAGCACCCCTGTGGGAGGTGTGCCCAGGTAGGGGAACTCCTCCTATCAGTGACAGAGTTCAGGGAGGAGGTCAGTAGGTTGAGGAGTATCAGGAAGAGTGAGAGGCTACTGGAATTGCACCCTACTTTTCCTGAGACGGGCCAGACAGGCAGACCCAGCACATGATACAGAGGATTCCCTGTCCTCTCTCTGCCTGATGGAACACAGTGACTTAAGGAATAGGCAGTAATAGTGACAAGTTTGGGTCTGGTGTAGCCAGTGTTTCTCCTCTGTGACTGCCATCACCTTCCCAGGTGCTCTCACATAACAGGTATGAGGCTCTGCAAGTGAAACAAAACAGTAATGAGGATGATGGTTCATCTAGCATGGTGGTGTCACTGAAATTAAGTCAGCCTATGCCCTGTGAAAAAACTGCTTCCATAAAGAAAGAGAGATGGATCATTGTCATAGGAGACTCCCTTCTGAAGGGAACAGAAGGTCCCATATGCTGACCAGACCCACTTCTTAGGAATGTCTGTTGCCTCCCTGGGGCCTGGGTTAAAGATGTGAAGAGAAAGCTCCCTGCCCTGAATACTGCCCTTGGAATATTATCCATTATTGATTATTCATGTAGACAGTGATGAAGTTACAACAAGAAGTCTGGGAGCAATTGAGAGACTTCAGGGACTTGGGACGACTGCTTGAGGGATCAAGAGCACAAGTGGTGTTTTCCACTATCCTTCCAGGTACAGGGAATCATGAAGGAAGAAATAGGAAAAGCCAGCAGGTCAATTCCTGGCTCTGAGCCTGGTGTCATCAGCAGAATTTTTGGGGGTTTGGTCATGGGTCAGTTTACATTACACTGAGCCTGCTGGGACCAGGAGGTCCCAGTTGTCTGGAAATTAGCAAATATGACACCCATCTACAATAGTCAGAAGGATAATCTGGCCTGTCAGGCAGACCTTGGTGCAGGGGAAGGACATGGAGCAGGTCATGTTGAGTGCTATCACGAGGCACGTGCAGATCGAGCAGGTGATCGGGCCCAGCCAGCACAGATTTGTGAAAGGCAGGTCCTGCCTGACTAATCTGATCTTTATGGCAAGGTGATCCACTTGGTGGATGAGGAAAAGGCTGTCGATCTTGTTTACCTGGACCTTAGTAAGGCCTTTGACACCATTTCCCACAGCATTCTCATGAAGAAATTGACTACTTACAGCTTGGAGGAGTAAAAAACTGTCTGGGTGACTGGGCCCAGAGAGTGGTGGTAAATGAAGTTTCATCCAGCTGCCATCTGGTCACTGGTAGCATTCTCCAGGGCTCAGTATTGGGGCCAGTTCTATTTAATATATTTATCAATGATCTGGATGAGGGGGTTGAGTGCCTGCTCAGGCTGTTTGCAGATCACACCAAATTGTGTGGGAGTGTTGATCTACCAGAGAGTAGGAAGGTTTTGCAGAGGGATCTGAGCAGTGTGGATCGATGGACTGAGGCCAATTGTGTAAGGATCAACAAGGCCAAGTGCCAGGTCCTGTCCTTGGGTCACAACAACCCCATGCAGTGTGACAGGCATGGGACAGAGTGGCTGGAAAACCGCCCAGCGGAAAAGGACCTGGGAGTGCTGGTCCACAGCCAGCTGAACATGAGCCAGCAGTGTGCCCAGATGGCCAAGAAGGCCAATGGCATCCTGACTTATATTGGCAATAGTGTGGCCTGCAGGAACAGGGCAGTGATCATCCCCCTGTACTTGGCACTAGTGAGACCACATCTCGAATTCTGTGTTCACTTTTAGGCCCCTCACGACAGGAAAGACATTGAGGTGCTGAAGTATGTCCAGAGAGGGGCAGTGGTGCTGGTGGGTGTGGATCTCATGAGGAGCAGCTGAGGGAGCTGAGGTTGTTTAGCCTGGAGAACAGGAGGCTTGGGGGGGATCTTATTGCTCTCTACAACTACCTGTAGTGATGTGGATGTCTGTCTCTCCTTCCGGGTAACAAGTGATATGAGAAAAGGAAATGCCCTCAAATTGGCTAGGGGATGTTTAGCCTGGATACTAGAAAAAAATTACTTCACGGGAAGGGTTGTTAAGCACTAGAACAGGCTGCCCAGGGAAGTGGTTAAGTCAGTAATCCTGGAGGTATTTAAAAAGATGTGGAGATGTTGCACCTGGGGACATGATTTAGTGATGAACTTGGCAGTGCTGGGTTAACAGTTATACTCTGATCTTAAAGGTCTTTTCCAACCTAAACTATTGTGATTCTATAACAATTTGTGGTTGGATCAGAATAGTTCTGACCATCTCGTACCCTCGCCCTGGAAAACCTGCAGCATCCTTTTGTAAAGGGGTGTTACTCATCAAGATTTTAAATCATTTTCTCACCTGAAGCAAAATTCTGACCTAATTAAAGTTAATAGGTGATAACTTAAAACTGGCAGACTCAGAATTTCAGTCATACTGTTTAGATGTTTTTAATTGGAGTGTAGGAGTAATTAGGGCGTGAGAGATGACTGGTAGCAAAGGCACATAGGCAAGGCCACGAAAAGAGGATAGCAATGAATATAACAGGCATAAAGGGATAATATTTCTACAAAATACCCCAGTTTTAAAAATAAAGATGTAATAGCTCTGAAAGAGAAAATACTGTATTAATTCAAATATAAGAAGCTTTAAAAATAAGTCAACTTATTTTTGCTGTATATGAATTATATTCAGGCATTAGAACACTGAATAACTGGACAAAATTAGCTTCAATTCCACTGTCATTTCTGTCTATAAGCAGGTCAGGTGTAGCAGGGATTGCAATGAGGCTGACTAGATATTTTCTCTAGAAGGACGTCTGTTGTTCAAGGTGACTCTGCAAACCAAAGAATGCATGCATGATGAATGTGAATTAATCAGAGATGAACATTTCCCTACTGTACCCTGGTTTTAGAACTTAGGCACTAGTACACCCTGCAGTGTCAGAGAGAATAACCCAGAAGAACTAGCTCTTTTGCACAGGCTGCACTGGTCAGTCACATTCATCAGTTGGCTCGAATTGTCGCCAGTGATAAAAAGTGAATAATCAGCATGTTATCTGCACCTGTGAGGTTATTGTTTCTGCAACATGACTGCAAGTGTCATCCAGAAGGACCAGCTTCTGCTGAGTCCTTCAAAGCAGGTGTTCAAATAATGCCTTGAAGTGGAAGACTTTTAAAGTAAATCAACTTCTTGCAGCTGTTAATAAGTTTGCTTTAGTTTTGGCTTTATATTTCCCCAAATGGAAAGTTACTTAAGGTATTTTTCAAAAAGCTCGGTGAGTCTTGACCTCAGAGCCAGTTTATTTTTAACATGACAAAACATTATCTATTTCCATAATGCTATGTGTGGTCACCATGACTCATTTTTTAAATTGCAACTGCCACTGATGTTTGCATCACTGTTCTTTACAGTACAAATTGAATTTAAGAATAACTTGGTGAGTTTTATTTCTAAATTTATTGTCTAGGTATGCAAACCACATTTCTGATATTTCCTTCTTGTTGTTGTTTCTAGCAGAAGCTTTGTATTACTCATTAATGATACTAACAAGTAGCAATCTCCATAGCAGAGTAATTCTGTTTTCTCCTGGTACTTATGTGATCAGACAGCTTCTTCGACATATATTTCTCATAAATATATGCATGACAGATTTCAATAAATTTTTAAAATCTCCCACCTAATTGTCTGTCTTTTTTCTTCCTAGTCTGCTCCCAGTTTTCAAGAGGAGTCTTTGCGATTTTTGGATTCTATGACAAGAAGTCTGTAAATACCATAACATCATTCTGTGGGACTCTTCATGTCTCTTTCATAACTCCCAGCTTCCCAACAGATGGAACACATCCCTTTGTCATTCAGATGAGACCCGACCTCAAGGGAGCTCTTCTTAGCTTGATCGAATACTATCAGTGGACCAAGTTTGCATATTTGTATGACAGTGACAGAGGTAAGTTGTGGTACCTCTTTGCCTGCACCCTATTTGCCAGTTGTATCTCATTGAAATGTGGACTTTCATATTAGATAAGTAAATAAAAAAATAGAGATACACTTATTTCAACAAGTAAGTGTAAGCTTAAATTTAGAGATGAGCTTTTGGGACAACAGTAAAGTTGTTTAAATGAGAATGAAATTATGACAGTATTCATTAATAGAATTGCAGGCTGCTGAGCAGTGTGAGACAAATCACGTTGTAAAACAGTTGGTATGAAATTTTTAATTTTTTTTTTGTTAAAGAAAACATCTAAGGAGGAAAAAACTAAATCTGAGCATGAAGGGCAACCTGCTACCATGGATTCACTCCACACATGCGAAATCAGTAGTTGAGCACCATGCAAGCAAGAATCTTGGATTCAGTCCCTGCTTCTTTGGAGACTGCTTTTGATAAATACTCAAATTCCTCTCTTCTGTTCATGGGGATGATGTAGATTTTATTGTTGATGTTAGTAAACCCAAATCCTTGTCAGCAATTTACTCCGCAGTGCAATGTTCTCAAGTCCTATGAGCTTTTATGGCTGTAGTAGTAATAATATAACCATTTATGAACTTGGAAAAGTCACTTGCAAATTATGGTATATCAATTATTTTCTGAGAAGCAGCAGCATTATACAGAAGGGGGAAGTTTTTTTGACTGCCCTTTCCAGAATTCCATTATTATAATTCTGTTTTCAGGTTCTCCTCACCTAGTAGTCCTTGGCTAACTCTCTTCTATTCTTACCTGCTCCTGTTCTCTTTAAGAAGCCTAGGTTGTGGCTTGCCCGTGTGTTTGTTGGTCAGAGTTGAATATTAACTGCACATTAAATGATAAGATGCTAATAGATTTAAAGAATGTTTATACCACTCCATGGTTTGTTGAGTAAAGGGATGATGTTAGATTCCCTGCATTTGGATGCCATCTTAAACACATGGTGTTCAAAAGCTAAAAGCATCTTTTCCAGAGAGTTCTTTATCATTGTCATAAGCACCAGAGTTAGAAGAACTAATACTGGTATGTAGCCTTCAAAGGCAATGTCACATGGGACGATGAGCACTAAGCTCATTTCTCTAGCAGATCCTTTTCAATTTCACATTAGAATCAGAAACATTCACTGTCTTTTTAGAAAGGACAGATGTAAACTACTTGCTTAGCCAATACTCTGTCAATCAGCTAGCAGTGTGCAGAATGTGACCTGCATGTGATTTATATTTAGGAAGTACTGAAAAACACCTAGTTCTTGTGAGCTGTACTGGCTGGATCTGGCCAGGAATTACAGCATGAGATTTTCCTTTGTAGTCACCCTTTGGTTCTTCCTTTTTTTCTCATTTGTTTGTTTTAATTGTGGCAAGGCACCCCAGTGATAACAAGCTCCAAGGCATGAAGCTCCTACCTTTATGTGGAGTAAATCATTGCTCTTCAGTGCTCCCACTGATTGCACAAGGTTAACCTGCAGAGTCAAACAGTATGTAGCCAGCAACACTGACATCAAATCCTGAATACACAAGGCTGCAGTTCCTTTAAACACTTATGCATGTGTCAATGTAGTGACAGTATATATCTAAGGAATGATACGTAATTTAAAATATTTCCACCTTCAGGAGTGAGATTAAAAAGGCAAAGAGACTTACTCTTCTCTAACCCTAACCCTACTTAGTTTGACTTATTCCGAAAGAATCCTCTATTTCTACTGCTACAGCACCTCTGTGGTTAGGGACTGACTGACTGAAGTACAGGGCAATTTTCTATCCCATTCCTGTCTATAAGAAGTGAGGCCATTCAGTATATGCATGCCCAAGCTATTATTGGCTTTATACAGCAGTTACTCTCATGAAATGTGGGTTAGTGTCCTTTACCATCCTTACCTCCTCTGTATTGCCTGTACTAAACAGTGGGTTTAAAAAAAAGTAGTGGCACGATTGGAGGATTCTGCCAGTAAAAGATGTGCTAATTTATTCAGCTTCTGTTCAGTCTTCTTTTTCAGAGCTCACTGAATTAAGAGTTTGTCTCATGATAACCAAAAGAGGTTCAGGCACATGATGTTTCCAAACAAAAGTATTCCTGCAGCTTAAGAAAAAGCAACTGAGGTTGCTGGAGTTTCTCTTCTGTGCAGTCCCACTTCTGTTTACCTCTCCAGATAATTCTATGTCAACAGAAGTATTGCTACAAATACTTTTTGTTTGGTTGGTTTGGGTTGTTGTTTTTTTTTTGCTATTTTGCAGTGTGTTATTGCTATCAGAATAGACTAAATTGTAGGGGGATGATATATCTGCCTCCTAAAAAAGGCAAGCAGTCGAGGCAGCTGTTTGACATCTCTACAGAGAACACCCCAAGAAAAAGGACTCCCTAGGAAAAATAGATCAGAGGAGTAAAATAAAGAAACCTTTCCTAATAGATAGTATTAACATTAATAGCCCTTATTATTTTATGCCTAGTTGAGAGTCTGTTTAATTCAGAGGAAACATAGATCAGAGGACCTGAAATCTGCTAAATGAGATCTGAAATAATGATTCTGATTGTTTTTCAGTTTGAGTGGATTATTTTTTTAATTTTAATTTTCCATTCAAACAGTATTTTGAAGTATAGACTTATTTTACTGCTTTTTAATGGTTTAAGTTATTACCTGAATCTTTTAGTTTGCTTATGTTACCTATCTTCCCCTTTTAGCACAAGTTCTCCACATTTATCTTTAACATACTAGTCTTAATCTAATAATGTACTTACAAAGTATGAGACATATTAATTCTTAGTGCTTTCTTTCTGTTTATGGGCATAACAACTATTATTTTTCATGAGAGTTTATACCTGAGGTGTCCTTTATATACCAAGTCAGAATTTATCTCAAAGAAATTACTGCTGATGTTTGGTGGTTTCAGGGAACATGAATGTGCAAAAATGTTAACTGGCTTGTGAGAAAGTCTGATTTTCTTTTTTTCTATAATAGTATCTGCTATCCTTAAAATTGCTCTCTAGAATCATGTAGAATTATCTGGAAGGAATTGAAATGTAATAAGTCTAATTCTTGTACTGCTGGAAATTGTTAAAATGGTACTTGTTGTATAGCAGAAATTAATTTCCAGCAGTAATTTTCATGTTTCTGTACTCCATTATTTAATCCTTGAAAAGGAAAATCAGTCAAGTAAAATATCACTGATTCTACAGTATGTTGTAGGCAGTTGGATCTGTACAGACATTCCAGCTTCCTGTCAGAAACATGCCAAAAGGATAAGATGGAAGCAGACTTCTGTAGACTGCTTGTAGGTGTTAGCATTGAGCCTGCTTATCTGTATGGAAAAAGTATATCTCAGTACATCTTTCATAGCCAGGGATATGACTGCAGGCAGCAGAAATAATAAATCCATTAGCATCACTGCAGAACGTGGGAATTTTGCCATGGACCTCAGTGAGGTCTGGGTTTAAATACAGCACTGCTCAAGCACTGAGAGCAAAAGCCATTCAATAGCATTTTTAAATAAGCGTCTGGTCCTCTTGCTGTAGTTGGAACACTTTTCTCCTAGAGGACTTCATTCCCACTATGTGGAATTCCTGCAGTGGATCAGTGAAACTGTCAAAATCACGTTCTGAAGAAGGTTGAGGCAAAACCAGAAGGTGGGATTTACCTTGATGCCTGGCAGTGATGTAAATAACAATTTCATGCAATAAGAACTGATTGTGCCCATGTAGAGCCTCGTCTCTGAGTTGTAACCACTTGCGACAGGTCAAACAATTTATGGGAGATCTTAAATAAGCAATCTCACAAATCACATTCTAGAAGCTTGTTATTCCCAGAGCTTTATCAGTCATATCTTCTGTTTTCTCCTGTGCTTCACTAGGCTTATCAACATTGCAAGCTGTGCTGGATTCTGCTGCTGAAAAGAAATGGCAAGTGACTGCTATCAATGTAGGAAATATTAACAATGACAGAAAAGATGAAACTTACCGTTCACTGTTTCAAGATCTAGAAGTAAAGAAGGAAAGACGAGTGATTTTGGACTGTGAACGTGATAAAGTCAACGACATTGTTGATCAGGTTTGCTCTTCTCTATTCTTCAGTGACAGCAGTTTGCTATATTCTATAAATAAATGTAATGAGTTCATTTGTCTTGATCATATTTTTGTGATTCTTCTGCATCATTTGGCTGTGACGGGTTTGTACTGAGAGCCACATATATACCAGGCAGGAAGTGAACATATAAATCCAATAATCCCTGCTTTTGCTCAAAGGCAAGATAATTCTGTTTGGATGATCCTGTATGGTTTTCTGTCCTGGTTGTTTAAAATAAAACCAATCATTTAAAAAAAAAAATCTATTGAGGCTATTTCACAACCTTAGTAGTATACTATATTATACATAGTTGATACACTGTTATATATGGTGCATTATAAATAGTTATATTATGTCTAGAAAGTATTTTGTCCTTCTAATGCTTTTTCCAAGACCTTTTTACATTCTGGGAAGACTGTATAACAGCTTCTCTTTCTCATTTAACTTCCTTTGAAGTTCATGTTTCCAAGATCTTTGTCATTCATACTGTCCTTGGGTGTCTCTTCATTTTGTCTTCCTCTTAAAGTATGCTTACCAAAATCAGATGCTGTTTTCCATAGCTAAGGCCTCCTGAGCTTTAAAGAGAATAGAAAATTCAGAAAACTACTTCTTCTCTTCACCCCTGAAAATTCTTTGCCAATATGAATTTTTTTTTATTTATTTCCTTTTGCACAGCAGCATCACAGTGGTCTGCTTCAAATTATTGCATTGCTTTTGAATCTACCTCTTCAGTCCTAGTGCCTAGGAAGGTCTTACTGACTCTCAGTCTTACTACTTCTTTTCATGCATGCAGAGCACAATGGAAAATTGTAAGGATAGTTCCCTGTTGGCTTGGTCTTGACCATGTGAGACTGTGCAGCATCTGTAGGGATGTGTCATCAGAGTGTACGTGTATTTATTTGAAGGGTTTTTGAAGGGCTTGTTATTTTGGGCTTTGCTTTGAAGGTTGTTACATTTTGCAGAGGCTCAGGCAATGAGCAGTGTCCTAGATGGAGTACATTGTATTTGTGTTTTATTTGGAATTCATATGCACAAACTGTTTCTCTAATTTACAACATAAATTTAAATTTGATCCTTTTCTCCAGAGCATTTGAACTCTGAGAGCATGATCTCCCTATCATCTGCAACTTTTGAAAATTGTATTTTCTGTCCTGTTACCCATGTCAAGAAATGTACAGAGTAGAGCAGTGTTTGAGATAAATCATACTTACAGGTCCTCTTCAGTTGTTTCTGTGTGGCTTTCCAAACGGTTGTTCACTTACCTTACAGTGATTTTTTTTTTTTTTTGTCTTGTCCATAACCCTCAAGAGTTTCTAATGATGTCCTACAGGACAAAAACCTTATTAGACTCAAGGTATGTCACATCTGCTGTTTCCTGGTTTTCTGTTAGGCCAGAGAAAGGAAAGATACTGCTTTGACATGTTTTAATCCTGACAAGATAATTTTTACTGTTTAGAATCTTATTATTCTATAGATTCTTTTAAAAATAAGTATGTAATATTCATTTATTTACCCTTTAGTTATCACTCATTTTTACTGTCTTTGTTTCCTAACAGACCTATTTTCTTCTTTGTCTGGTTTTTATTTTGATTGCAGTGCTGGGATATTTTTCTTGCCTGAATTGCTCTTTGATAGATTCTGCCTTGTTTAGAGGCTTAGATTTTCTCGGCTTATCCCCACAGACTTGTGCTACTCCTTAAGCATACAGATGGATAAGCTTTTGTTTCTGCTGTTTTGATTTGTAAGTCACTGAAGAATTCTACATAACTGAATCAGCCACACAGGTCAGTTAATATAATTCCAGTTAGTTGTTCTCCTCAAAATATTTTACTGCTGTGCTCTGGAGTATTTTCTCTGAAACTGCTGTCGGTGGTCCCATTATGGGTTAAGTCTTGGAATTCTCTTCACAAGGTAGCCTAGCAGTTTCTGGAATTTGGTCTGTTTAAGTCCATTATCTTTACACTCTGTAACTTCCCTTCCTTTCATTAAAAGGTAAACCCACTTTCAGTTTCTCAAGTAGCCTAAAATAAAGCCTAACAATAACCGATTCTCTGTTAATTTTCTCCAACTCATAAAATGAAGGTCTGTGCTGAGCAATGGTTTTCTTGGCCTGTGAGTATCCTTTGAGTGTGTTCTTCTGATTTTCTTTTCTAATAACAGAGTACTTTAGGTCTTGCTTTGCTACCAGATTTATTCTTTGAAAAATTCTTTTAATTCCTGCCCCCCCCCAAAAAAATCAGAAATATCCTTCATTTCATGAGGATACCTAAAGCAGATGTTTCATATTGGTATCCTTTTTCTTTTTCTGTGTATTTTTACTGAGAGAAATGCAACAGGCTCTCTGTTAACCAGATTTTCCTTGAACACTGAAGTATTATTTGCATTCTCAATACACAGAGCAACAACTTCTTCACTTTCCTTCCTTGCTATTGTTAAGCAAACTTTTTATTTATCCTGCAAATATTTTAAGCTGTGGTAGCAACCTCAGGTTCACCCAGGTTATGCTTTGTAGACCTTGGATCTTTATATACCCACGTGATGTGTTTGCAAAGTTGCTTCATCATTCTTCAATTTTGTCTTACGTTATAGTTTCTCTTCCAGATTTCAACAATTTCCATAAGTTGAAAAATGTTTCAGTTCCCCAACTCTCCTCAGACTTGTTTATATTCCTCTTCTCTGATTGGGCAGGTCAGTGTTACCATGCTCTTCATTCTATAGCCTCTGGCTCTTATCTGCCAGCTTCCTTTGCAGAGTCTCATTTCACCCTGATAGCAGCACCCTTTGGTACTAGAGACAGTGGTGAATAGCTTTGGTGTCCACAGCTCCTTCATCATGGCTTTTGGACCTACCACTGCATTTTCTCAGTTTTATCTGGCAACATCCTCAGTGTTCACATGGATGAATGGCACAGGGCAGTGTTTTAGCAAGCTGGGTTTATGAAATCCTACCCAGAGGCAGTTAGAGCAGAGTTACTAACCATTGAGCCAAAGGCTTGCAGGTGCTGGTTGTTTTCTCAGATACCAATGATGAAGAAGCATTTCATACAGAAGAGTTAATCTGTTTAGTCTAACTGAAATTTCTTTGGAAGCAGCAGCTGCATAAGAATTTCATCTGAACATAGTTCTTAAATCTTTTAATAAGTATTTAGCTTTAAATAGGCTGATCCAAGTAACTGTTTTAGGATACTTAGATCTATGTATCATGTATATATTGACCTCAAAAGAGGAATAATTTAATTACTTCTATGGCCTTTGTGATGTGATTCCTCTCAGACTCACTCTAGTGTTAAAAAAATCAGTGTTAAACACTGCTTTCAATTAGGTTTCTGTAACTCCATTAAACCAAGTATGTGGAATGTCACTCACTAGTACCCTGATATAAGTTACTCGATACTTAGTCTGAATGTTTTAGTTATGTTAAATGAGAGAATAGATGAATCATCCTCTCTTGATTTAAGTTGTTCTCATTGTTCAATAGAGGGAATAAACCTCCAGACTCCTCTTACCTCGCACAGCCTTTTTCTGGAGAAGTGCTTAGCTTCAAAATGCAACCTTCCCCATGCAGACATAGTCTTAATGAGGCTTATTTGGGAGAAGCATCCATGCTACATGTCTGTCAGTGGAGACCTCTGAGAAACCACCAGCTGGCTTTGGGGGAGATTATGAGGAAGACTTAGGGCAATAAACAGTTTGAACTTTAAAAGGCTTTCTCATAATGCAGATGCTTTCAGTAATGTCAGTGGGCTTTTAAACTTTTTCTAGTTCAGAGAATGTTACAAGTCTGCTACAGATGGAGCAGAAAGTAAGCAGGAGTGTGTGAGGCACAGTGCTCCTAGTGCATGATGCTGTCTCTCCCGCCCATGTTGTGCCTTTAAATTAGCATTCAGCTCCTCTGGAGGGACTGTCCCTCTTGGGACTTGGATTTTGGTGTGACTAATTTCTATGAGCAAAGAGTATGTTCAGTGGTCTGTTAGGTAAAATAAAAGGTAAAACATTGAACAAATTCAGTATTGCATACCATAAAGCTCATAACTAATTTTTACACCATACTGTATTTGGTAGTTTTTAAGTCTCTGATCATGTATCAGGTGAACATTCTCCATTATGGGGGTATTTCTTCTTTTTTTACAGGTTATCACAATTGGTAAACATGTTAAAGGATACCACTATATCATTGCAAATCTGGTAAGCATTCTTAATATTTAAAATACCTGTAGTATTCATTTTGCTGTTTACGGAAGAACGTCGACTTGTCTTTTGTTTTAAATGCATTTTAGAAAATAGGAAAAGGTTTGAATGCATGTGTTGAGATGGTATTTGGTTTATTGATTGAGTCTTTTCAAGGCTTACATGCTTCTTGTGATATTCCCATCAATGGGAATGAAGGTTGCTGAGCACCTTCAATTGAGCTTCTTTTTCTATGTACTGTAGAAAAGTAGGATACAGAAGTTAGAAAAATAGCTTTCTGCATTATAGGCTGATACATTGATTCAGCAAACTGATGATTTCTCTTTCACACTTCTTAACTACTTAAAAATTACAGTTCTCAGCCTTCGTTCTGCTGGACTAGTGAGTCTTGGATTTACATGTCTTCATCCTGCAGGTTGACTGGGTGATCAGTTTGAATTAATGTTTTCTTGTACAGAGGTGATCAGACAGTATAGCTAATAGTGTTCCTAAGGGCGAAGGTTCAGGAAACTCACTAAATTCTGTCAAGGTAATTTTTTTTGAAATTGTGTCTAAAAGTGAAGGGCCATTTTAATGACATTTAAGTCAACAACACTTAGTTGCTGAAGCTAGGGAAACTATTCCAATGTGTTTTGGTAACAGACAAAGGAAATTCTTCAGGTTTGAATATCAGTTACCCTGTTCAAGAAGAGAGTTTTGGAGGTTGCATGGTGTGAGTGGCACCAAATAATTTTTTTATGATTTATTCTTAAACTGTGATAGCGTTTGATATAAATTCCAGCAGGGCCCAGAGTGCCCTAATTTGCACTCTGTCTTCCATAGTCCTTTGAGGAGCCTGAGGACACAGAGGGACCATAGTGTGTCTATTGCACTTCAGGCATAACCCCTGTCTCCTCCCTGCCTTTGATCAAAACACTTCCTCCTCCAGGCGGTCAGTGTTCTGAAGAATCACGTAGGTGTGACAGTGTGAAGAAGCCTTATGCTTTAAAGGCCTCCTTAAAAGTTGAACACTGGGGTTTCATTTTCATGTTTTTTAAACTGATTTTTAGGATAAAGAAGTTGAGGTACTGATATTCACAAAGCAAGCATAAAAATATCAAAAAATTTGAAAAATTTTCTGTAAGATATTCGTAGCTTGCATTGCAAATGTTGGATAGATAGTATTTTCAGTCTTAAGGGAATTTTAAAAAAATGTGTCTAGGGGATTTCATTATCTCAACTGGTTGCTGTTTTAGCTATTGCTTTGAATCTCTAAGACCATAAGATCTAAAAATTATTGAATCTTGTGTTTTATATCATATATAAAATGTATATGGTAATGATTTTAAAACTGTGTTTTTCTCTGTCAGAAGGAAAACTTATCTAGTACTTGATCATGTCCCATCTTCACTGAAATCACCTCCTTTCTTCTTTTTTGACTATAATAATTTTTTCATCCAGTCTGGTCAGCCAGTCAAGAAATGGATTTATTTTAAGACTAAAAAATGCTGATAGATGGAGAAGAGGTTAGCGTATACAATGGATGTTCTGGTTCAGCCATCACAAGAACAATAATATTGAAGAAAGTTTCGTAATCCCTGTAGAAGTGTCTGTATTAGCATGCAGCAACGCATTATTGATGAGTGTCAATGATCTGCAATAATTTAAGAGCACCTATTATAGCAATTGCAGCAACTTCTGATACCGTGGTGTGAGGTTGCTACTTCTTTTTGTATTCTCTCAAGAGCATTTGTTTAAGCTGGAGTGTCTTAAATCAGTATTTCATGTAAATGTGTTTGTATGATTATTTGGGTGAAGTTAAAACACAGAACATGGAAAGAGCTGCTTGTAAGAATGAGAAGTAGTTCTTTATACCAGAGTGAGGAGCCAGGGGAGATGGTAAGTCCTTCCACGTGCTTTAGTGTTCCTAAGAAAAAGAGGACACAACTGTGGCTGTAACTATTCCTGGCTAAAGCTTGCTTGCCTAACTGTTCCTCATGTCAGTGTTCCCTTTCCCATTTAAGCGGTCCCCTTGAAATTAACGGGATTGTTTAGGGAGCATGGCAAGGACAGATCCACTCTGCCCTTGCTCTATAAAGGTATTTGTCTAGTGAGCAACAAGAAGCATTGCTGGCTGACAGAGCTGACGACTTAATCCTGGCAGCCCAGGATTTAAACTTGGATCCAATTGAAGGAAAATATTGGCTTACACTTCTGCAATAGAAGTCATATGGTAACTCTTTATTTGTATATACTGTTGAGAGATCTGCCAAAACTGTTGAAGTAACAGACATAATTTTTTCTGTGCCCAGGGATTTACTGATGGAGATTTGTCAAAAATTCAGTTTGGAGGAGCTAATGTCTCAGGATTTCAGATAGTTGACTATGATGATCCTCTGGTGTCAAAATTTATACAACGTTGGTCAACACTGGAGGAAAAAGAATATCCTGGTGCACACACTAGTACAATCAAGGTATGTCTTGTATTTGTTTTAATCATGCTAGATGTACAGGAAGGAAGAGAATTGGAATATAAAGACAAAAGACAAGAGCCTTCAAAATCCACTGTGCCAACACATCACTCTGGGGTACTTTTAACATTTTCTATCATAGGTCTGATTGAGCAGAGATGCTACCCTGTCAAAAATGTTCCAAGACAACTTTAATTTTTCTTGTGTCACTGTAAATCTGTGCCTGACAGCTTGTTAGGTAATTGTTTTGGATGTAACGATATATTAAGTACCTGCTGACTATTTTTGGGTTTTCTGTGTTTTGGAATGTTTTAAAAACAGATATGTAGTCATATGTAGGCTTCTGGGGAGCACAGATTTAGCATTTTTTGGTATAACATAATCTCCTAAAGAAGTGGTAAGACAGTTGCCTTGAGACAGATGCTTAAATCCTACAAAAACTTTTAAAATTAAATTATATGCCTGATGTACAGATTAATCGTCTGATTTCAGGCCTGAGTGACACATGATGTGACACTGAGCAGGTGGTTAAATTTCCTTACCTCAGTTTTCCCTCTGGATAAAACTAGGATAATAATACCTTCTTACTTTCTCTAACCATCATGAAGACCAATTAGTGCCTTCAAGATATGAAAAAGAATAACTCAGTTTTAATGCTAAGTAATTTTTTTTAAGTAATACAATCAGAAATTTTAATAAGAACTCGTATTCTTAAATAGCCCTAAAATGTATTAAGACAAAATGATAAATGGCAAATGTTCTAGGCATAACTTTTTTTGTGCTGTAGTTTGAATATGAAGCATATTCTTAATTTATAATGAGATGAATAAGAAGTTTCAGCAATGAATGGAAGAACCATTTTTTAAATTCCTGGAACAGAAGTTCTTTAAAGCACACAACCTTAATTTTAATTTCAAAATACAGATTATAGATTCCTTTCTTATGCGACCAAATTTGGTGCTAAGTTAATCAAAGCTATGATTTTTCTGTCGTCATTTTTGTGGTTTAAAATCTTTGTGACAGAAGAAGGGAATTTCTCATTTGATGTAAACTGGAATTTGTGTCATGCCGTTGTATACATTCATGGAGTCTGTGTCGTGCCTTTGGATGCCTTCATATTACAGTCATGTAGCATATGTAATCTGTATTGCTCTCATTTAGGAAGCAGGATAGGGATGTGACTGTGGGGGTTTATTAGAATTCTGTTGTCTCTCTGATTCTCAAGTGCCCAAATCTACCTACCTATTGAAGCTGCAGAATCATAGTCTTGAAATAATCATAGTGAAATACATGACTAAAATAAAAATGGTGAACTGAAACCAAGATGCAGGTTTTATCATTGATGGAAAAATGAATGAGTGGGACACAGTACTAAGGATTCTGGTTCCTCTGGTGTTATTTACACTAAGAGAAAATTGCATGCGTGTTAGGTAACATCAAGTGTTTCAATGTTGTGTTAAAGCACAAAAATCTCTAAGTGTATCACAGGTATTCCCTTTATTTCTTCCATAATAGGTCCTTTCAAGTCTAGTCAAAATTGAAAGTGTTGAAGGAGGGTATTTGGAATTTCTTCTGGTTTCAAGGTTTATTTTGTTTTGGATAGAAAAACTAAATTAATTGAAACACTTGTTTTCATGAATTTCAGTATCTTAGAACACATTTTAAGTTCAGTTTAAAAGGCCATTCTCTGTTCCTTTATATATTGTCATCTTAAGGAATATACAGGATTGTACTTGATACTCAGTCAAGAGATTGAGATTTATGTTAAATTATCAAATAATTTATAAATGCTAGTGGTATTGATGGTGGGAAAAGCATGGATGTATATTGCAATGCTTGGTGAAATTGATTGTATCGGTTACTGTATTTATTTGTGTAGCTTTATATCTCTTGCTCTTAGACACATATTTGTCATTTTTGCTTGTCATTACATCTAAGGTCAGAGATATGTCATAATTCATTCCCATCCTTGATGGAGCTAAAGGCAGGGCGAATCATAGAAATCATAGAAGCAGAGTAAGAATGGTTTTGAGCTGTCCTGGCCCATCCTCCTTGCCTGCAGGCAGTCAGATATACCTGTGCAATTCCTGTAGATAGTATTTCACAACTTCTCCAAGCAGTCTATTTCAGATCTTAAATAATCCTAGTTTTTGTCTAACCTTAATTGGCCTTTATGTCACCTAATCCATTACTCCTTTATATGTTTCTAATGGATATGAGAAAGTTCTCCTTTTCAGTTGTCCTTCAGTATTTGAAGATGACTCCAAAATTTTCTGCCTTGTTTTCTGCCCTGCAAAACTAAGTAATTCCTTTTCCTTTGAATTTTCTTCTCTCAGATCCTATTTGTCATTTTGCCCTGGAACCTTTCTATTTGGTACCTCTTTGAAATGCCAGACTGGGTGCTGCACAGTGTCTGAGCGCTATGCAGAAGAAGTGGAAATAATGACTTTATGTATCTCAGAGATAGTAGTATTCCTTTCAGGGTTTCCTTTTCTGTTATTCTCTTTTTTCCTTTTTTTTTTTTTTATTCTCACCATCATGAAACTATTGAAATGTATTTATTATGAGATCCATGCTAACTTCAGATCTCTTGCTGCATTGCTTTCTTGTGCTGCTGCCAATTTAGACAGGCTCATACCGTATCTGTGCACTTGATCATTCCTTTAAAGTATAGGATTTTTCATTTGTTCCTGTTGAATTGCAATCTTTACCTGTCCTTCCTGAACATTCCATTCCTTCTTACATTATTCTTCTAGCTGTCTTTGATACCCTTTGTTTCTTGGAATAGTGTATAAACATTTAGGTTACTGAGCAGGTTAGTGCACTTGTCTCCCATTTGTCCCTTTAGTGGCCTTACAAGTAACCTTTCTCCCCTTTTGATTTTGAGGCAGTTGTCCAAATTTTCAGTGATTATAAATGAGCTTTTGCTACTAGTTCCCATGGAATCTAGGAAACTGTCACTTGTAGATCCTGTATGAAATTAATAGGAAGGCTAACAAAAGCCCTGTATTATCAGTATAGAAATGAGGGGTGATTTCATTCCCCTGTCAGGTAGTGTTTTCCCTGGGATTGCAAATGTTCTATCATTACAGACAAAAATATTGCAACTGTGTTGTATTATCTTCCTTTTGTAATCCATAAGGAAATGTGCATTCATTTAACATTATAAAATGAAAGTCAATGGAATATGACTGAGCTGATATGACAAGACATATCACAGCATCCAGGATCAGTCCTGAAAACAGAAAGACACCCCTTCTAAGAAAATGTACATTTCAAAGGAGCGTTGTTGGAAACTTGTTCCACAGATGCCCAGAAGAGGACCTGAATCAAATTGCTTTAAAAATGTATCTTCACAATTTATAAAATGTTAATTATAAGAAATTGCAGTCTTAGGACATAGGTGAGCAGACACTGATGTTATTTGTTGCTTCACTGTACCCATCCTGATAAAACCACAGGATTTAAAGATGAAGCAGGATACTTAAAACCTAGACTTATTACAAAAGGTCTTCTCATCTTTCAGAAGTAAAGCTGATACAGTGTTTACCTCAGATTAAATTTAAAATATATCTGTTGTAAGCAAGTCTATGCATTCAGCTCTAGAAGAGCTAATGTCTGTCTTGAAACATACAGTTGAGCATCCTGGCGAGTTTCCTTGTCAAATAGCAGAAAAAAACCAAAAAGCCGTATCTAATTTTATAAAAGTCAAATAATCTGAAATCTCCTTTTGATCCATTATTGTGCATTTACAAACATGCTGGACTTTGAGTCTTAATGTTGCATCAGACTGTTATGTTTAAGGTAAGCTTTCTGATGTTGTGGAAGGACACTGAAGGACAACACGTCCATTCACATCGAACTGCCCCAACTTCCTAATCTGATTAAACCATTCTGTTTGGGGGTGCCTTCAGTCTATTTCCAGGAAGAAGCTCAACTGGTGCCTCTTGAAGGCTAGTGAGACATAAGTTGTATTTGGTTTGTGTGGCAGGGTTTGGTAGCAGAGAGCTACAGAGGTGGCTTCTGTGAGAAGCTGCCAGAGGCTTTTCTCCTGTGCAGTGGAGCCAATGCCACAAAGCTCCAAGATGGACCTGCTGCTGACCAAGGCTGAGCCCATCAGTGATGGTGGTAGTGCCTCTGGGATAGCATAGTTAAGATGGGGATAAAGCTGCTTCACAACAGCAGGTGGGAAAGAGGAGTGACAGTGTGTGAGAGAAACAGCTCTGCAGACACCTGAGTCAGTGCAGAAGAAGATGGAAGAGGTGTTGCAGGTGCTGGAGCAGAGATTCCCCTGCAGCCCATGGTGAAGACCATAGTGAGGCAGCCTGTCCTCCTGCAGACCATGACGGTCCAAAGGGGAACAGGAAAGATCCCAAACCAGAGCAGGTGGATGCCTGAAGGAGGCTCCCTTTCAAGGAGTTGTAGAGGGCGATAAAGTCACCCCTGAGCCTCCTCTTCTCCAGGCTAAATAACCCCAGCTCCCTCATCTTCTCCTCATAGCACTTGTGCTCGAGTCCCTTCACCAGCCTCATTGGTCTTCTCTGGACCCTTAAGTAGGCATGTCCTGTGAGGAGCAGCTAAGGACTCTGGGCTTGTCTGATTTGGAGAAAAGGAGGCTGAGGAGTAATCTCATTGCTCTCTACAGCTTCCTGAGGAGGGGAGGTGGAGAGGGAGGTCCTGAGCTCTTCTCCGTGGTATCCAGTGGCAGGATGTGTTGGAGTGGTTCAGACCTGCAGCAGAGGAGGTTCAGACAGGACCTTTGGAAGCATTTCTTTAACCAAGAGCATGGTCAAATATGGAAACAGGCTTCTACAAGAGGTGGTCAATGCCCCAAGCCTATCAGTGTTTAAGAGGTATTTGGACAATGCCTTTAACAACAAACTTTAAAATTGGTCATCCCTGAATTGTTCAAGCCTGTGGACTAGATGATTGTTGTAGGTCCATCCAACTTAAATGGTCTTTTCTACAAGCCATCCTACTCTGTGATAGGCTTTTGTAAGAGC